CCTTGAAAGCCGGAGCCTTCAGCCTCAGTTTGATTACCAGCAATCCGTGTCATCATTAAGAAAGCCTCTCTTTCCAAGTTTACATATTTCTTTTTTTTTTTGAGTTGGAATCTCACTCTGTCGCCCAGACTGGAGTGCAGTGGCCGCTCCCGGACACCGCAGCCTCGATCTGCTGGGCTCCGGCGATCCTTCTGCCTCAGCCTTCCAAGTAGCCAGAATTACAGGCGCGTGCAACCACGCCCGGCTGATTTTTTGATTTATTGTAGAGATGAGGTCTCGCTGCCCAGGTGGGTCTCGAACCCGCGGGCTCAGGCAATCCACTCACCTCAGCCTCCCAAAGGCGCGGGATTACAGGCTGAGCCACAGGCTGAGCCACTGAGCCCGGCTCAAGTTTACATATTTCAGATGGAATTCTGCACAGTTAAAAATATCTAACTAAAACAGTAACAATGTATTCAATATTCATTGGAATTCTTCTAACCACTAGAATTTTGAAGTTGGGAGAATAAAATCTCTCTAGAGCTAACAGCCCCATAAACTCCCTGCACAGGCAAGCTTCAGGTAGCACCATGACTTTCCAGTGGTAGGATGACACCACTGAGGCAGAGACTGGGACTAGCTGGGACTCTGCGGGCATGTGGGCAGGAGTGAAGTGGCGGCCACCAGGAGCTGCTTGTCAGCTCCCTCCTCCTGACCACAAGTCCCATTAGGGAAACAACGGGGAGGGGTCCATCTGATTGGCAATAGCTATCACAAAAAAGGAAATTCAGCATTTCCTCCTCTACAGATTAATTCCTTGGATATATTCTCACAGGACACAGAGCTATATGCATGAGGATAGCAGGACAGTGTTGTTTGAAATGACAGAAAAGGAGAAACAAGCAGATGTCTACGGCTAAGGAGCTGGCTCAATAAATTAGGGAACATCCACATAACGAAACTGTGCTGAGCACGAGCTCCAATAAGGTTATGTCAAGACATCCTCTCAGACAAGTGACTACAGGATGCCTCAACTTAAAGGGGTATGGCAGGTGGTCCTACACTTGCCCCCACTGCTAACCTTCCCACTCATCTGCAGGTAGAGCACAGCTTGGGTGCAAGTGGGCCTCATGACACAGTGGGTGTAGAGGAACCAGGTTGGAGGGAAGAGGGAGTAGAATTCCAAGTAACTGAAACCGCTTTGCATGAAACAGTGTGTGCTGTAAGAGCCCTGCTATGTAAGCCCCCCACAGCACATTCCAGGATGCACACCTGCCTACCTTGAGATCCAGAAGCTACTTCCAGAAAGTGAACTCGGGATGACTTTCCCCTTTCACTGTGCACCCCTCAGCATTGGCCAGTTTTTCTTTTTTACAAGTATGCATGCCTTTTACTATTATGTACAAACACACAACTAGGAAGGCAGGCCAAATGGGGAAGCTGTCAAGTAGCTTGAATGTCCCTTCCAAAACTCATGTTGGAATTTAACTGCTGTTGTGACAATCTCAGGAGGTAGGATAGTCAAGAGGTGGTCTGGTCACAAGGGCTCCTTTCTCATGAGGGCCGACACCGCCATCTCAGGAGGGGTCCCTGACACATAGCAAGTCTGGCCCCTCTGCCCGCGCTCTCTGCTATCTTGCTCTCTGCTATCTTGCCCTTCCTCTCCCGCTGAGAGAAGATGCCAACTGGTGATGTTTAACACTGAAGGTGCACACTTCCACTCAGTGGTGAAGTGTGCTCCCCTTCCTAGGCAGGAGCTCTTGATCATTGCCCTACGCTAAGGGGTATAGATGGCACCCAGTGCTACAGGCCTGTGCCTACCTCATCCCATCATCTCACTTTGAGGACAGATGAGGCTACTGAAGTATGAAAACCTGGCGAATCAACAGGCCCCAAATATCTTCTTCTGATGAAAGGTGGAAGGAACACTGAGTCCCCCATCCAGGGACCTGGATGTGTGTTTCAACTCTGCCACACACTTGCTGTGTGACCTTGGGCAGGTCCCTTTACCTCTCCAGGCCTCAACTTCTCAAGCTGTAAAATGATGGACAGTCTCTCAGAGGATTCCTGACACTTCCAACAGCTGGCCCCCGTCCTTACTGAGAAGCCCAATACGTTGTCACACAGGAGAACAGTGGTGCTCCAGCTACAGGTACCTGGGGAGCAACCCCACCACACCACCTCCCTTCTGCCTCCCCTGGGTGCTGGAGATGAGTGGGACTCCATCAGGCAACACGGACACACCAGGCAGATGGCAAGCAGAGGCTCTGGGGTGAAGAGGAGGGCACAGTGGCCAGAACAGAGGCTCACAGAGTGGGAACACAGGGAGGTGGCTGCACAAGGAACAGACCAGAGTCATCCTGTTAAGATGCTCCAATGTCAGACCAAGGAGCTCGGGATTGACCCTGCAGGTTGGGGGCTGCCAGGGACACCTCTGATGTGGGTGACAACTCAATCAGAGTTGTGTAAAGAGGAGAGGCCAGCTGACTGTGGATGGCTGGGGACAGGGCAGGCGGGACTCTGGCCATGAGCCAGGAGGGGGCAGTCAGGGCCCACCACCATGATGGCCCACACCAGTGATGGTCTTCTGGGGCCTGGCTACCCTGCCACATCCTACTCAGTTCAGTATAAACCTAGGCCTTAAGAACTGAAAACACACAGAATGAATTTCTTTGTGCTACTGAATTCAACCACAAAGGCACAAAAGAGAAAGCAGTGGAAGAAAAGAGGACACTTTCTGAAGCAATGTCTTTGGATGGTAGCTTCTAAGACCACCCTACTCTGCCCTGGAAGCCCAAGGATCCCTTCTGAAGCCCAGCTGGCCAATGCCATGCTGACCTCTGGTTGGGCTCTCAGGAGACCAGGAAGTTTCCACGTCTACCACAGGACATTGCCACCGCAACCTTTCTACTCAGCCTCAGTTTCTAATAGAAGCCAAGGTTCCTAAGGTTCCATGGCTCCCAAGCAGATTGTTTCAAAGAGTAGTAAAAATGCCTCCATTCAAAGAACTCCTATAATTCAATAATAAAAACACAGTGCAGTTAAACACAAAGGATCTGAATAAATGTTGCTCCAAAGAAGATATACACATGGCCTATAAGCACATGAAAAAATGCTCAACATCATTAGTCATGAGGGAAATGTAGATCAAAACCACAGTGATATACCACCTCACACTCACTAGGATGGCGAGGATCAGACAGACAGATAATAACTGGAGCTGGTAAGGATGTGGAGAAATCGGATCCCTCAGACACTGTTGATGGGAGCATCAACTGGTGCAATTGGAAAACAGTCTGGCAGTTCCTCAAAGGCTATGCACAGAGTTACTATATGACCCAGCAATTCTACTCCTAGGTATATGCCCGAGAGAAATGACAAAGTGTCCACACAAAAACTTGTATGCTTAGGGCTGGGCAGGGTGGCCTGCCGAGGCAGGAAGATTGCTTGAGCCCAGGAGTTCGAGACCAGCCTGGGCAACATAGCTAGACCTCGTCTCTACAAAAACTAGCCAGGCACAGTGGCGTATGCCTGTAATCCTAGCTACTTGGGAGCCCAGGAAGTCAAGGCTGCAGTGAACCATGATGATGCCACTGCACTCCAGCCTGGGTGACAGAGTGAGACTCTGACTTAAACAAAACAAAACAAAACTTGTACACTAGTGTTCATAATAGCATTATTCATAGTTGCCAAAAAGTGGAAACAATGCAAATGCCCATCAACTGATGAATAAATAAATAAAATATGGCATATCCATACAAGAGAATATTATTAATGAGGGACTGCTACATGCTATAACATAGATGAACCTTGAAACACTAAGTTAAGTAAAAGAAGCCACACACAAAAGGGTTCACACTATACAGGGCCCCATTTATATGAAGTATGCAGAACAAAGAAATTCATAGAAACAGAAAGTAGATTAGCCTAGGGCTGGGGAGGGGGAGAGGCAGAGGAGAAGGGGCTCAGGGGAAATGGGAAATGATTATTAGTAGATATGGAGTTTATTTTTAGGGTGATACAAACACTCAAGAATTAACTGCACAACTCTGGATATAAGAAAAGTCACCACTCCGGGGTCGGTGACTCAGCCTGTAATCCCATGCCTTTGGGAGGCTGAGGTGAGTGGATTGCCTGAGCCCGCGGGTTCGAGACCCACCTGGGCAGCAAGACCTCATCTCTACAAAAAATCAAAAAAAATCAGCTGGGCATGGTAGCACATGCCTGTAATTCCGGCTACTTGGAAGGCTGAGGCAGAAGGATCGCCAGAGCCCAGCAGGTCGAGGCTGCGGTGGCCGGGAGCGGCCACTGCACTCCAGTCTGGGCGACAGAGTGAGGCTCCAACTCAAAAAAAAAAAAGAAAAGAAAAGAAAAGTCACCAAATTGTACATTTTAAATGGGTGAAATGTATGTATGTGAATTATCTCAATAAAAGCTTTTTGTTAAAAAAAAAAAAAGCTGGACACAGTAGCATGTACTCATAGTCTCAGTTACTCAGGAGGTTGGGACAGAAGGGTCGCTTGAGTCCAGGAGTTTGAGTCCAGCCTGGGCAACATAGCAAGATATCATGTCATAAAAATAAACAAAAACAACCCACCTCTACTTTCACTTGCCCAAGCACAAGCACAGAATGAAAATTCGGATCACAGGCCCTGGGCCAGCCTAATGTTTTGGAGAAGAGACTGGGCCCTAGGGGCAAGAAGCCCCAGCTCTGCAGCCTGGGAGCCTTGTGACCTTAGACACTATGCCCCTTCAGCCAGCTTCAGTCTCTGTAAAATGTCAACCACATGACCTACTGCATAGAGTTGACAATTAGATTAAGACATAAGTGTGAAAATGTTTGGCATAGTATCAGACACAGAACAGGTACCCAAGACAAGCTGAAAAGACAGTGGTCTATGAGAAGTACTTTCAGAAACGGAAAGAGGTCTTAGAACTTCATATATGAAATTATCACATATATTCTCAGAAGCAATCCATCTTAATGTCACAATGTCACATGCTGCTTTCCAAAGACTCACTTGAGCTCATTGCCCCACTGTTTCAAAGAGTAGAAATTGATGGCATTCGGATGCCCTGGGGCTGGCTGACTTGCTGCTTGTTCCCCTACCAGCTCTCCAGGCTCAGTCTCCACAGCTAGGACATTTCTGGCTTTTTCAGCAGAAGCATTAGGGTGCGGATAAATTAAATCTGAAAGGAAGGCAAATAAATGTCAGTTATTTAAAACTTCCACACAAAACTTGACACCTACATAAAATACTCGATGACTTGATATGGTATATAAAAATGCAAACTATATGACAGCATATTTTTAATGTACACCATATAAAAACATAATCTGTGAGTGGCTTTGGTGTTCTGAAACCATTTTCATATAAAGAGATCCATGTTTCTCAAAGGAAGGTTGTGATATGCTTCAAACCACCAAGTATTAATAGTGTTGGCCCAAGCAGACAAAAGGCTAGAATTCTGCTCCAGCCTTACAGTTCAGTAAGCCTCACAGAAACCTGTGGTCAGGTCAGGGTCCGCTCACCTGTACTGAAAGGAACAATTTCTAGTATAAACTATTAAGTAAAAAAATTAAAGTGCATATCAGATTCTACCATGCTTTCCTTTCTCTAAGAAAGTAGGAGAAATAAAAATATAAATATATTTGCTAATATTTGCAGATAGTGACACTGAAAAAACCAAGTTTGTATATCTTAAATAGTCACTCAGTAAATTTATAGGTACACACACTGACACTAAAGCAGGATCAAATTTCAGAATAGTCTCTTTAAAATGTTAACTTTGACATATTTTACATGAAATGATACGATGCCCAGAATTCAAAATAACAATATCTTATTACTTAATATTAATAAATAATAATATTTGCTTCAGATAACATGCTATTTACTTCAAAATAACAAGTGGGCGGGGGCAGCAATTAAAGAAGAAATTATAATTGTTGAAACTACCTAATAAACATGGAGGTAATATTATGTTATTCTCTGTTTACATGTATTTAAAATTTCCCATAAGTAAAGTTACTTTTTGGCCAGGCACAGTATCTCATGCCTGTAATCCCAGCACTTTGGGAGGCCGAGGCGGGAAGATCACTTGAGCCGGTCAGAAGTTTGCGTAGTCTGGGCAACATAGTGAGATCTCATCTCTACAAAAAATTTAAAAGTCAGTCAGGTGAGGTGGCATGTGCCTGTATTGCTAGCTACTTGGGAGGCTGACGCAGGAGGATCACTTGAGCCCCAGGAGTTTGGGGCTGCAGTGGGCCAAGATCATGCCACTGTACTCTAGCCTGGGTGACACAGCAAGATCTTATCTCCAAAAAAAGTTACTTTAAAAAAAGTTTCGATAAAAACATTTCTAACCACAAATATTTTATATTCTTCCAAGTAAAATCACATCTGTAAGAACAGGGCATGTTTTAAGCAGCATTTAATATTACTTCACAATAATCCATTTGATCTATACCTGTTTAATAAAGCATCTCCACGTTGACAATATCAACCATTACTCTGTGAAAAACAAAATCAGAATGGAACTGCTGACCACTGATGTTGGAGAAAAAAATCAGTTTCTACTCCGATGAGCACAGTCAGAGTCAGCCAGAATGGATCTCCTTGAAAGTCCCCGAGCGCTGGTAAAGGAAGCAGAGTGGGACCCTGGAGAACAGTGTCCTGATGAGGATGCCAGGATGGGCTTGCCCTGCAGAGCAGGTTACTGATGTGATCTTGGTCCATATAGAGAGGGCTTCAAGAGCACACTGGGAAGGGACCCCAGGCGTGCCATGAGTAAGTGACTGCTGTGTATCCATCAGGAGAAATGGACCCCACCAGGGGAGTCAATGGGAGGTTGACAGCAGGGTTCTTACTAGGAAAAGGAAGAGTCTGTGTTGGGGACAGAGAAATTATGGCCTTGGTAATGGATCACAACATTCTTGTGTTCTCAAGAGGCAAGAAATTAGAAACTACCAGAGATTCCCAGTTCTTGGTTCGAATTACTATCACATATGAAGCAATAGTCACTGGGAGCACAACAGCAGTGAGACGGCACTCCCTCAAAGGAGAGCACATCTACAAGGGACACCAGAGAGTGGAAAGTCAAGCTCCAAGTCACCAGAGAATAAACATATCGCATCCCTGGCATCCCGGCCCTTCCTCTTCAGGGGTGTCCAGGAGAAGCTTCGGGGACCACTAGAGGGAAAGGGGAGGGAGGCTTCATTCCCAGTTTCAGCCACAATGGTTCCTCTCTTCACTCTTTTATATTGTGGGATTCCCTTAAGATTTCATTTGGGAAAGGGGTACAATGAACAAAAGAAAAACAAGTTCAAACACCACTAATCCAATCCATCTCCCTATCTACTTTATTCATCAGACACTAAAGGCCAAGACCAAGGCCAGAACCCAGTCACCTGCCACCACAGTGCACATGTATCACAAGGCAGGCAGGGGTGACTGCACCCACCCAGGAGGAAACAGTGCCTGGAGCGGGGAACACTCAGCGCTTGTGAATATGTGTGTTAGCCTATGGGCACATAGGCATAAAAGTGGTTCTCACTCCTTTACTTCAGAGAAAGGTAAAACTGACACACAGGCTTGTCACCTGCTACACAGGCTTCTCACAGGCACCACATGCGTGTCACCCACCACAGGAAAAGCATTGCAGCTCTAGGCCATGCCAGGAAATCAACACAACAAACCATGCTCATTTCTGTCACAAGCAGCCTCTCCTTCCTGCGTGGGTGGCAAGGAGCTGATGGTCCCACTGCAGGCACAGATTGTCAAACACACGCATGTGGCAAAGGGCCTGTTACCAAGAAAAACCCAGGCCTTGCGGCAGCAGCCCACAACACATTCAGGAAACACTTCCTGAGCTCGAGGCCCAGGGGCGGAGCAGAGGCAGGAGAACCACACGCTGGGGAAACTATTTCAAAAAGTAATTATTTGACTTGAAAAAGAAGCTATCTCCCAGCTTATTACATTTTGCTGTTACTGTTATTTTTGTCCAGTTTTTGGTTTTTAAAAGGCCACGTGAGATCGGCTTAATTAAAAGCGGAGTTGCTGGCTTCTCCTCAATACTGTCCTAACATTAGCATTCAGGGAACCACCTCAAGGGGGACATTGAGGGAAAACACAAACTAGGACACGGCAGCATTTCCTCGAAGCCTCCGAGAGGCTGGCCGGCTGGCCCCAAATACCCTTGTGACTGCAGTCTCCTGGGGAAAGAAGTCTGCCTTGCCCATTCCTGGTGTTCAGGCCTCTGTTCCCTATAAATATCTTCAAATGACTAAACGACAACTCTGAGGGAGCTTTGGATGGGAGTGTGTACATTTCCTTGGTCTCACTCCAGCACAGCCTCTTCACTCTGCATGCCCAGGCAGTCCCTGCTTCCCTGGTCTCGAGCGTCCTTCCTACTGGATATGCTTGGGCACACAAAACCCACAGTCCTGCTGGGACTCCCTGCACAGGGGGTTCCTGATCATGTCTAGACTGCCTCAGCAGGTCTTTCCTCTCCTCTCCTGCCACCTCAGCTGGGCCCAGGTGCTGTGCCAGCAACCTTGGCCAAGAGCTGACCATGACTGTGGGGTAATCCCCATAAATCTCAGCCCAGGCTTGCAGCCATGTCCAAGACAGGAAAGAGCAGCACTGGGAAAGGCAGTCCCCAGGCATCAAAGCACTGCAGCCAAGAGTCTAGGCATCACCACAGGGAGGTAGGGAGGAGAGGGCGAGGCTAATCTAAAAACAACCTGTTTTTTTCCTTTATCTAAGTAAGTTTTAATCTGGGTTGTGAAGAGGTGGTCAAGAGGAGTAGAGATACCTTCCAAGTGGAATGCAGTGTGGTCTAAGCACCAAAACAGAGAGGCAGGAGCCTGGGCTGAAAGCCCCTAGGGTAGGCCAGTCCACTGTCTAGTTAATGACTTGTCAAGCTTCCTCCCACCTCCCACCCCCCACCCCCCCCA